TCTCTCTCTCTCTCTCTGTCTCTCTCTCAGTGCTAGCACACAGTACAAATTCATCTGATACTTCTTGATATATATACACACACAGTGGGGAGGGAGAGAGAAAGTGAGAGAAGGAGGGAGGAGAGGGAGAGGGAGGGAGGGAAGAAGGGAGGGAGAGAGAGAGAGCAAGAGAGAGACCATAACTGGATCATGAAGATAAACAGAGGAGTACAGTGGTATTTGGCCTTCTAGATGGCCCCCAATGATCCCCACCCCCTGTCATTCATGCCCTTGTATAATCCCTTCTCCTTGAATGTAGGCTAAACCTACTGGCTCACTTCTAACAACAGAACAGAGTAGAAGTGTATCACTTCTGAGATCAGGTTAGAAAATGACTGTGGCTTCCATCTAGGGCACTCTTTTCCACTCTCTGGATCTCTTTTGGGTCACCAGCTGCCATGCTGTAGAAATACTCAGGCAGCTTAAGAGAGACCCACATAGTGAGGAATAAAGGCCTGCCAGTAACTATAAGAGTGAGCTTGGAAACAGATCTTTCCCTGTCCTTCCACCCACTGTCAAGTTTTCAGATGAGATTGCCCCAGTCAATACTTAAATTGCAGCCTGTGAGAGACCCTGAGTCAGAGGCACTCAGCTTACCTGTGCCCAGATTCCTGACCCATAAAAACTGTAAGTATGGGTTGTTCTAAACGACTACATGAGTAATTTCTTATACAATAGATAACTAATACAAGGGCCTTGCAGGCAGTAGGGATGAAACTGTGATGAATACAGAGATGACAGATGTTTATATGTGCAAGGAGGTCCAGGTAAAAATAGGGAGACCAGGAAAGGGCTGCCTCTACCAAAGGATGATGGATACCTGTGGCACTGCCTTCATGTAGAGAAAGGGAGACAGGTCCAGTGTATACCCAAAGCTCTGCTCCCCTGTACTGACTTGACTATGTCTACAGCTTTCCTTGACTTCTTGTGCACTGTTTATGAAACTTTACTTCACTGCCTGATATTATTCATGTATGCTGGGTACATATATAAAACACAAATAAGGGCTACGGGATTTTTAAGTTTAGTACAAAAGCTTAATCTACATTCATTCAAATTCAGGAGGCCTGTGTGTAAAAAGTCCAAAGATAAGGCAAGGTCACTTATTTTTAACTCGATTCTAATTTTAATAAATCATCTCTTAGGATGCACATAATAGGTATTTCAAGCAAGTTTTATTTTTGTTTACCCTGGATACCAAAATTATCTGTATAATCAAGCACATAAGACATTCTAAAAACCCTAAAGCACCACATGATCTAAACAGTGTGAAAACTGATTTGCATTAAAACGTTTCCTTTAAAAGTTAAATTTTAGATACCTTTCGCTATAAAATAACAACAACAAAGAGTAGCAGCAAAACCCAGGACATTGAAATAACTGTTACGGTGTCAAGCATTAGAACTCAATAGAAATAATCTATAATCACTTCATTGAAGTCCAAATTCTACCATTAACTTACTTTTTTAAAAACTGCATAAACTTGAGGGGTACAAGTATAATTCTGTTCCATGTATATACTGTACCCAGATTCCTGACCCATAAAAACTGTATTTGTTGTTCTAAATGACTACATGAGTAGTTTCTTACACAATAGATAACTAATACAAGTGCCTTGTAGGCAGTAGGGATGAAACCGCCTGATATTATTTAGTGGTACAGTCTTGGTTTTAATGCATCCCTCACCTGAACAATGTTCACTGTACTTGATCTACCATTAACTTCTTACACAAAATCTCTACTGAATAGAAAGGATGTTAACAATGCCAAGAAAATGTTGCCTATATTTTATAGTCATCTCATTTGAGTGAGAAAAGTTATTTCTCAATTTTATTTACTTTGGGCTCTAAATGGCTATTTTACTTACCATTTGGAAGCCTGGGGAGTATATAAGCTCTCATCATTAACAGCAGTCGTTAATACATTCTGGTTTACAACATTTAAATACTTCTCAATGTGAATCTGTTACAGAAATGTCAAAGTTTAGGCAATTATTGTGGACTTAAGATACCCAGCTAATTTACTTCATTAGGTTAACACTCTGAATCCTGTAATTAAGCCAAAACCACAAGATGCTATGTATTATTACATGCCTAAGGTATCATTAGGCATCTCAAGGCCAAATTACTTCAACTATTGCAGAAAGCATAATAAACTGAGACTCAAAGCTGGAGTGACCTGTGGCATACTCTTTCTTTTTTTTTTTTTTGAGACAGGGTCTTGCTCTGTGGCCCAGGCTGGAGGGCAGTGGTGTCATAATGTCTCACTGCAGCCACAACCTCCTGGGCTTAAGCAATCCTTCCCCCTCAGCCTCCTGAGCAGCTGGGACCACAGGCACACGCCACCACGCCTGGCTAATTTTTTTATTTTTTGCAGAGACAGGGTTTCCCTATATTGCCCAGCCTCTATGGCACTCTTTACAAATAAAATAGTGCACAATAGTCAGTGCATTTTTAGCCAGGTAAATCTACTAGGCAATACAGACATGGAGTAATGTCTTTTTCTTATAGGGACTTCAAGCAAGCATCCAAAGAAAGCATTTGGTCTTTAGGTAACATTATTTAAATAAGCCAATCCAAAGACTCCAGCTGGGTCCAGCCCTCTCATCATCAGGTAATATGACAATGATGTGCTACAAAATATACCGCATTTCTCACAGCCTTGGGAGCTGAGAGATAAAGCAGGTAACAGAGTAGATTA